TAAGCACAAAGTAGATAAAGTGAAGGTGCACACAGGAAAAAGAGGAATCAGCCTTTATCCTGGGAAAAGGATATATCAGAATCTAAAAAAGGTAAAAATATATTTTATGAAACCCAAAGTAGCTTTTATAAAATAGAAAGTTTTTCAAGATATGAAAGCTTCTATTTTGTTTCGTAGGGAAAAAAGCATATTTTGTTTGTTGTAAAGACACAAAAAATTAACAGACAATCATATATGAGACCAAAATGTTAGCATCAGATCAGCCTAAAAATATTTGATGTTCTCTTAAATGTGTTTCTCTTATACATTCTTAAAATTGTGATTTGTTTTTCTGCGACAAGGTAATCACTTTTTACCAGCGCAGAATCATGAAGGACAAAGTGGACAGTACAAATATAAGGAGTTATATCCCTCTACCAAAAGTCTAGGTGAACTTTATCAAATCATTTGGCACAATATTTACAAATTCAAACCTACACCAAAATGCAAGAGATCCCATGATACTAATATTTGAACTCCAACTTTTGAGTAGGACTATGAACTCTTAAAAACATCTTAAATTCTATCCCTCTGCAATGTCCCAATGGATGGTGTACCAAACCTTGTTATTTGGTCCTTCTGTTTAGACCACCTGAGGTCTACAAGAGAGTGAGTGAGTCGCGGGAAAAGCTAGAGAGATAGGCAAATAGCGACCCAGGATATGAAGATGCCACGTGCACCATTACCTTTAGTGTACAATGTCACACGCCATATGTAGAGTCAGAGTAGGGATATGTATTTGGTCATTTTGTTCCATTTTAGGTTCATTCAGTTAAGTTTTTTTTGCTTGAATTTGGGTTAAGTTGGTTTGGTTTATATAGTTTTTGATTCCTCCTAGATGGATAAACCAACCGTCCAACAGTAATGAGTTAAATTTGATATTTTGTTGGATTTCTTTCATTATGATAGGTGTAGTATTGTACATTCACAAACTAATTGTCACATATGCAGAGAGGCGAGTAAGAGCTTGTTTGGATTTACTTATTTGAAGTGCTTTTTAGCCAAAATAGTTTTTAAGCACAATTGGGGTGTTTGGGTAGATTAAAAAAGTGCTTATAAGCACTTGACTTTAAGCTAAAATGATAAAAAATAAGAATTCTAACTTATGGCTTTTGGCTTATAAGTCAAAAATAAAAGTCAATCCAAATAGGCTCTAAGACTGAGAAGTGAAGAATTTCACACTTCGAAAGTTAGATTTAGCCACATAGTGCTTGAATTAAATTCGAGTTTGTGGATAATTAGGAGGGTACAAAAGGGTTAAGAGCGCAAGGGAAAATATAATCTCTTGTAAAATAAAAATAAAATTGACACATTGGAGCAACGATAAAATTGTCTCCACGTGACTTATGCCTCACGGGTTCGAGCGGTGCAGTCAGCCATTGATGTTTGCGTCAGTGTAGACTGTTTACATTACATCCCCTCAGGATGTGGCCCTTCCCTGGACTCTGCGTGCATGTTGCACTGCTCTTTTTAACACATTGACCGAATAAACAGGAACGAAAAAGAGATTAAAAGGGAAGGACTATATTAGTGCAAGGTTGAACAAGAAAAACAATAAGAGTAAATATAAAACGAAAAAGAAAAAGTTTTTGAATTATAAGAGTCTAAAATCTGAAGTTTTGTTGGGTTTGTTATGAAGTTAGACTTTGGCAATTTTCCAGATTACCTTCGGTTTTCCATATTAATAGACAATTGTGTGATAAAATAAATGATTTTGGGTGGTTTTGAAACCAAAAACTATTGTATTCCAGAGGTGAAAAAGTAATGATTCATTCCCAAAGAGATTAAATCACTGGGGCTCATTGGAGGAAATTCCAAAGCGCCTTGGGAGGCTCCTTGATTCAGTGCACATGCCTAACTCTTCTGATTGGAGGTGCCACTTTGGCTAAATAAATGTGTTACAGATTCCTATACATACTTAAATGCAACTAAGCAGGCGGGTGCCGGTGAACACTTAGCTAATTAGGTGTCTCGGCCTCTGGAGTCTGGAGATAGGCAACACAAGTACTACTGTGAAATAGACAAGAACGGGAAAGGAGACCAGAACCATTGTATGATTAGAGCTCAAGCATAAAGCTATAGAACTTAATAAGAATTATTGATGACAGGTTGCATTAAAAAGCAGCAACTAAAAGTTTTAGGAATGTCCAAAAGTCTTGGACCTTGAAGAATCGTAATGGTGGAATGAGGAGGTGCGAAGAGTTGTTAAAACAAAAAGTGAGAAGTATAGGAAGTTACCGAAAGCAGAAGATGGTGAAACCTTTGAAGAGTACAAGAAATCTCAGAGAGGCTAAAAAGGCAGTTTGCAAAGCCTACAGTAAAGAGTACGATGACTTGTATCAAAATTTAGGTACACGTGAGGAAGAGAAAGAAACGTATAAATAGCAAAAAATGAGAGACTTAAAAGTAGAACTAAACTAGATTAAGCGTCTTAAAAGATGACTGCCAACAAGTACCATAAGGGAGTGCTCTAGCATTCGAGAGACGGAGATAACCTTGGGAACCAAGGTTGACACATAGCAGTACAATGAGTTCTTCTCATCTACCTAGCTCTTGTTGGACAAATTTATCGAGTACTTGTGACGGTGGAAGGTATAAACTACCCAGTCAACAAGTTAAGCCAGATCGCCATTCAAAAGGGTAGTTGCCAACAAGTTTTTAGATGATAGGGAGATCAAAGAGAGAGGAGATGCATTTTTTATCCTTTTTTTTCAACTTAAATCATGAGAATAACTTAGCAGATCTTAATAAATCACTAATTGATAATATAGAAGATGAGTTTCCATGCATGTTATTTGCAAATGATATTATATCAATTGACGAAACTGCACAAGAGTCAAACAAAGGCTAGAATTATGAAATGCACTCTAAAGAGTAACAGTTTTTGTACAAGTAGAAGCAAGACAAAATATATGCACAATAAATTGAGCCCCAAGAAGAATGAAGTTAAAGTCAGATAATATGGAACGATGGTGTCTCATATATAGACTCAGTATTTTCCAGAAAAGCGATATGATAGATGAAAAGTTAATATATAAAAAGAGTGCTATAAGAGTATGCTGCGATAGGAAGATATCTATCCAGTTGAAAAATAACTTCTATAAAATGACTGTGAGACTAAAAGACAACCAGCCTGTACATATAGATTGGTCAAGTGCCCAAGCATGTTACCTAGAGCCTAACGCATGCAACAAATTAAAACATTTACGGTGACGCTGGCATGTGAGGACCTTTTTATAATTTGTTTCTAATTTTATTTTACTTATTTGATTTTTAGTGGGTGAGAGAGACAGGAGCAAAACAAGACTTATAAACCTCTGGGGCTCTGAACGAAACATGGACATTTTGGCAGCTTAATATGGCCATTAAAGACAGCAATCTACTCTAGAATGTAGTTCATGATCATCATCTTCAGATGAATCATATCATTCCCATGTTTACATATCAATCTACAAGAGCAATGAAAGCTAATACTAACCTGCGTCTTTCTTGAGCTTCAATAAAATCACTATAAACCTGTAGCATGTCCCAAGCAACTGCTTTCTGCAACCAATCAATAGCAAACCATTAGTTATGAATTCATGTGTGCTTTATCATAGCAAATAAATTAACTAGAGCTGAACCACTGTTAAGTATTCAACAACTGTACAGGTCAAATTATCAGTAACTGGAAATAGGGAGAGAAAACTTGAGCCTACAACTAATGCAAGTTCAGAAACAGCCGATGCATGCTCTTTTGCTTGGGGAGAGAGTGGATCAGCCTATAGTTTATTGCAATGCCACTGTAAATGATTCACTATCTCCCCATTTTCTTTGCAAAAGAAGCACCAGCTGCACAGATTAAAACCCCTTCTTTGCACATTTTCCTGTGACAGTCTGACAGGCATGCTTCATGCGTTGCAATCCAACCAAAGCTAGCAATTTTGCTTGGGGCCTCAGTCTTCTGAATAATTTTCCAGGGCTACACACCTCTCTTCTCTTCCAGATCATTCTTTACAAATTGCAATGAACTTAATATAATTCTCTTCTAAGCTTTAAGACCTTCAGCGAAAAAAGGCCAGCTTCAGCTGAAAAGTATATAATCTACCATCCCTGATTACAGAATATGAGGTGACAAGGCAAATGGTTGGAAATACAGTAGGTCTGTATAAAAACTAAAATAAACATCCTACACTTGGAAATAAAGGAACAGGTTATAGGACTAATACAAGCTCTAAACGAGGTTATAGACCTAATACAAGCTCTTAACGAGCTTATAGACCTAATACAAGCTCTTAACATATATATGTATGTGTGTGTGCTGAGAAAAGGGTATGGTGATTTAATATCTAAGGATTAAGAAGCAGTTTTGCAAATTGGAAATACCTGCCATCCTTGATCAAGAAAAAGATTTTCTTTCTCTTGTAAAGTTGGTGTAGCATATATTCCTAATAGTCCGCAACCTCGGCTCTGAAAAGGGAAGAAAAACATTATAATTCTGTTCCAGACACATCAAAGAAAAAATCATTTCAAGGATTGAACTTATAAAAGCTAGTCAGTGCAGGAAAGCAGAGATCATGCAACGTACATAAGATTTTTATAAATTGTCTAAACCCAGATCACACGCTTCCATCAGACTTTGGAACTTCCAGAGAAGCCTTTTTTTTTTAATAACTGTGTTGGTTGGGCCACCTTGTGCGCACCTCGACTAATTCCATGGGATACCTCCCACCTGTATCAGGTACTTGGTAACTCTGACCACTTAGGCTTAGACATGGGAAGAAATCACCTAGTGTTTCCGTATCCTCTGGGATTTGGACATGAGACCTCATGGTTCTCCTTCCAGAAGGCAATTGAATCAGTATTTATCAAGTTTCATGTATTTCTCTTTGAGTGAAGGGTAGGACAAGTAGAGGCAAGAAAAACTTGATGCTAGATAAGGTGATGAACCCATACATTGCACAGATGACTTACGGAGCTTAATTACTAAGAGCAGATATCACAACTTCACAAGTTATCCCTGATGGAACTTCAAGTAGAATGCTTTATCTTTCAATACCTACCCCTCAATTGGATTACTATACAACACATGAATTTCACGAATAAATTCATGCTTCCATAGAAAAAAAAATCATGCTATCATTGGTAATCGCATCTGAATCTCTCCTGACTAATAAAATTGCACAGAAGCAACTCTGCTCCAACTAATAGCTTTAATATTTCAGAAAAGAAGATCCCTTAGCTAGGAGGTTGTGGAGGACACGGACTAGGGTGGAAGTTTAGTAGGTAGTATAGCATTGTCTTGCTTATCTTTCATACTAGTAGACAGTAGTCATAGTATTTCCTTCTATCGCAAGCTAAAATAAACGATATATGTCTCCCATAGACACCATTTTTATTAGAGGTTATAATAATTTTAACAATTATTATAGGTCATCAATGAACATAGTTAATCCTTTTCTTACTTCCTCAGAATATAAACTTTTAGCAACTCAATAGTATGACGCATACTTGGTTCCCTTTTATATAAACATAGATAGAAATGGTGGAAAAAACTTATGCATGACACAATTTATTAAAGTGCAGGACCTTAACAGCCACGTTGTATTAACTAAACTATGCATATGTGAGTTTTGGAAAGCATATACATTCCTGAGTCAAGATAAAGAAAGAGAGTTGTGGTAGGTTCACTGCCAGCATAAGAAAATCTAACTATGATGAATCCTATAGATGCTAAATTTTTCAAAACGTGCCCACCTGAATAGTGAAATGGATACAAGTCTTCATATTACCTACCCGACTAATTTGGGATTTAAATTTTGAGTGTAGTTGATACTTGATAGTTGATAAATTGATTAATAGGAAGTTGTATTAACTACATAGCAGGGAAGAAGAAAAACCAGAGAAAGGAACAAGTATTCAGAAAACGCCCAGGCCTGTCATGAAAAGCATAATAAAACATCTGCAGAGCTACCTTTTATGGTTAGTTTAACAAAACTTTGGTATACTGAGAATTTTAGTAGAGCAAGACTAAAATCATCCAATTACAGTCAGCAGAAATATCAATTATCTTTTAAAGGAGGGGAAACTGGACTCTGTAACAAAGAAGCTCCTTATTCATATAAGGGCACCCGGCACCCATGAGGGACAGTCCACAATGATATATCTTCTTTGACTTTGAATCTCTCCAACAAGACATTGGTTTTTGTTGGCTGATGGAGGATTTCCAAGAAGATATTCTTGTCATCAAAGATGTGATCCTCTAAGATGAGAAGATATTCTTCATATCAAGATATGATCCTCTAAGATCTTAGTATAATTGTGGTAATCTAGAATATCATATCTCTGATTCTTTCTCTTAATGTAAAGATTTAGGTGATTCTATTCCACAATCTTTTATGTATATATAAAGCCATGTACATGACATAGAAAAATATGAATGAAATTATTCAATAATCTTATTCCACATGGTATCAGAGCTTTAGGCTTATTCCTGGCCAATTTTATTCATCCTATCTTGAAAAATCCCATTTTGCTATCTTTATCTGCCCAAACCATGTCTGAAAATGGTACTGCCGCAAATATTCCAGTCTCTGAAAATGTTTCTGCAACCATAGAGAATAACTCTACAGTTTCAATTGGAGATTTGCAACATTCAGCTTCAACAGGTAGTTGTTCATTGGCCTTCACAGGTATTTCTTACTCTTTTATTACTAATGTCTCAGACAAACTTTCTCCAACGTGGGTGGTTGATTCCGGGGCAACTGATCACATGACCAGTCTCTTTCATCTCTTCATATCATATTCCCCTTGTCCTAGCTATAAAAAAATAACTATAGTTGATGGTTCAGTTATTACTGTAGCTGGGCAAGGAGACATACCACTTGGAAAATCCTTGATACTTAAAGATGTCCTTCATATCCCAAAGTTATCTGCAAATCTCATTTCTGTCCAGAAACTCACCAAAGATTCCAAATGCCAAGTAACTTTCTTCCCTTCATATTGCTTATTTCAGGAACAGAACACGAAGGAGATGATTGGGCGTGCTAGTGAGAAAGGTGGTCTTTATTGTTTGGATTTCCACAATGGTGAATATATATCTAAGAATTCCTTGTCTAGTTCATTCTTGTCTGAATCTATCATGTCCAATAAAGAGAAAGTATGGCTTTATCATCGTCGGTTAGGTCACCCTTCCTTTTATGTAATCAAAAGGATGTTCCCATCTTTGTTCAAAGATTTGATTGTCGAGTCTTTTCATTGTGATGATTGTGAAATTGCAAAACACAAACGTACTTCCTTTCCAATTAGTCACAAAAGATGTCAAACTCCATTCTCTCTTATTCATAGTGATATTTGGGGACCCTCTCCCATTCCTAATATTTCTGGTGCTAGATGGTTTGTGTCATTCATTGATGATTGTACAAGAGTAACGTGGATCTATTTGCTAAAGCAAAAATCAGATGTCAGTCAAATTCTTCCTACCTTTTTTAATATGATCAAAACCCAATATGATGTGCCAATTAAAAGATTTCGATCCGATAATGCCAAGGACTACTTCAATCAAAACCTCTCTGTTTTCTTCCAAAAAGAGGGAATTATTCATGAATCTTCATGTGTCAATACTCCTCAACAAAATGGGATAGCAGAGAGAAGAAACGGTCTGTTACTTGACATTACTAGATCACTATTGTTTCATAAAAGGGTGCCAAAACAGTATTGGGGGGAAGCTGTCCTAACTGCTGCACATCTTAGTAACAGAATGCCATCAAGAATTCTGAACTTTCAAAGTCCGCTTGATACTCTTAGGAATTTCTTTCCAAATTTTGAAATTTCCAATAAATTGGTTCCTAGAATCTTTGGAAGTGTTGCCTATGTTCATATTCATTCTCAAAATAGAGGCAAATTAGACCCACGTGCTCTTAAGTGTGTTTTCATAGGATATTCTCCTACTCAAAAAGGTTACAAGTGTTATCAACCATCATCAAAGAAATTCTTTGTTTCCGCAGATGTCACATTTGATGAGAGTGAATCCTTTTTTAATCATTCTTACAATCAGGGGGAGTCACTGAAAGGAAAGGAACCTCTAGACTTGTCACTATTTGATTTGTCCATTTCTAGTCGTGCCAAATTCTTGCCTGAGTCACCATTGCTACAGTCACCTGAGTCTCTAAATCCAAATGAACCCATTGAGTCTCCTAATCCAAATATAGATAATGGAATTCTAGAAAATAATCTACCATTGCAGGTATATTCCAGAAGAAAGAGACTAACTGATCAAACTACTCGGTTGCAATCATCTCCTCAGGTTACTACTCCTGATACCCATCTTGAACTTGTTGAACCGTCAGAAACACCAAACCAAACTGATCATGAAGAAGAATTTAACCAACCTAATGTCCTTGACCTTCCCATTGCAATCAGAAAAGGAACCAGAACTTGCACACAACACCCTTTGAGCCTCTCCATGACATATCAAAATCTATCCCCAAGTCATAAAGCTTTTCTCTGTAACCTCCACACAATTCCTATCCCCAGAAATTTGTCTGAAGCATTAGGAAATAAAGAATGGGAGAAAGCTATGAAGGTAGAAATGGAAGCATTGGAGAAAAACAAAACTTGGGATATTGTGGAATTACCAAAAGGAAAAAGGTTGGTCGGGTGCAGATGGGTGTTTACTGTGAAATATAAGTCAGATGGGTCCATAGAAAGATATAAAGCACGTTTGGTAGCAAAGGGTTATACACAAACCTATGGAATTGATTATTTGGAGACTTTTGCCCCAGTGGCAAAAATGAATACAGTGAGAATTTTATTATCATTGGCTGCAGTTTTTAATTGGAACCTACAACAATTTGATGTAAAAAATGCCTTTTTACATGGAGACTTAGATGAGGAGATCTATATGGAGGTGCCACCTGCTTTTGAAAGCAAGAAGGGAATGGTGTGTAGACTGAAGAAGGCACTCTATGGATTAAAGCAATCACCTCGTGCATGGTTTGGAAGATTTACAAAGGTTATGATCAAGCTAGGGTACCGACAAAGTCAAGGAGACCACACCTTGTTCATACGACACTCAAAAACAGGAAAAGTGACAGCATTGTTGGTTTATGTGGATGACATCATAGTAACAGGTGATGATTCAGAGGAGATACAAAATTTGAAGAAGTGTTTACTCAAGGAATTTGACATCAAAGAGCTTGGGAAATTAAAGTATTTTTTGGGAATCGAAGTGGCACACTCAAAACAAGGAATCTTTATTTCCCAACAAAAATATGTGCTTGATTTGTTGAAAGAAACAGGAAAATTAGGGTGTAAACCAGTGGCTACACCAATTGAATACAATCATAGATTGTGCAATGCTCCAGAAGATTCAGTGGTAGATAAAGGCTTGTATCAAAGGCTTGTAGGGAAATTGATTTACTTGTCCCATACAAGGCCGGATATTGCATTTGCGGTAAATGTTGTTAGCCAATTTATGCATGATCCTAGAGAAATGCATCTTCAAGCTGTCAACCGGATTCTACAATATCTTAAAGGAAGTCCAGGAAAAGGAATATTATTCAAAAGAGGAGGAAACATGGTTTTAGAGGCTTATACAGATGCGGACTATGCTGGTTCATTAGTGGATCGAAGGTCAAGTTCTGGATATTGCACCTTCTTAGGAGGAAATCTGGTGACTTGGAGGAGTAAAAAACAAAATGTAGTAGCTAGATCAAGTGCAGAATCTGAGTTTAGATCCATGGCGATGGGAGTTTGTGAGTTGTTATGGCTAAAGATAATCCTTGATGATTTGAAGATAAGATGGGAAGGACCTATGAGACTATATTGTGACAATAAATCAGCAATAAGTATAGCTCATAATCCTGTACAACATGATCGCACTAAGCATATTGAGGTAGACAGACATTTCATTAAGGAGAAATTAGATAACGGACTCATTTGTACGCCATTTGTATCTACAAAAGATCAGGTTGCTGATGTTTTAACAAAAGGACTGCCAAACAATATGTTTCAAGATCTAATAAGCAAGCTAGGAATGGAAGATATCCATTCACCCGCTTGAGGGGGAGTGTTGGCTGATGGAGGATTTCCAAGAAGATATTCTTGTCATCAAAGATGTGATCCTCTAAGATGAGAAGATATTCTTCATATCAAGATATGATCCTCTAAGATCTTAGTATAATTGTGGTAATCTAGAATATCATATCTCTGATTCTTTCTCTTAATGTAAAGATTTAGGTGATTCTATTCCACAATCTTTTATGTATATATAAAGCCATGTACATGACATAGAAAAATATGAATGAAATTATTCAATAATCTTATTCCATAGAAACGTATGCAGAGGTTCAGTAATCTAAGGGAAAAAGATAATGATGTTACATGGAGACTTAGATGAGGAGATCTATATGGAGGTGCCACCTGCTTTTGAAAGCAAGAAGGGAATGGTGTGTAGACTGAAGAAGGCACTCTATGGATTAAAGCAATCACCTCGTGCATGGTTTGGAAGATTTACAAAGGTTATGATCAAGCTAGGGTACCGACAAAGTCAAGGAGACCACACCTTGTTCATACGACACTCAAAAACAGGAAAAGTGACAGCATTGTTGGTTTATGTGGATGACATCATAGTAACAGGTGATGATTCAGAGGAGATACAAAATTTGAAGAAGTGTTTACTCAAGGAATTTGACATCAAAGAGCTTGGGAAATTAAAGTATTTTTTGGGAATCGAAGTGGCACACTCAAAACAAGGAATCTTTATTTCCCAACAAAAATATGTGCTTGATTTGTTGAAAGAAACAGGAAAATTAGGGTGTAAACCAGTGGCTACACCAATTGAATACAATCATAGATTGTGCAATGCTCCAGAAGATTCAGTGGTAGATAAAGGCTTGTATCAAAGGCTTGTAGGGAAATTGATTTACTTGTCCCATACAAGGCCGGACATTGCATTTGCTGTAAGTGTTGTTAGCCAATTTATGCATGATCCTAGAGAAATGCATCTTCAAGCTGTCAACCGGATTCTACAATATCTTAAAGGAAGTCCAGGAAAAGGAATATTATTCAAAAGAGGAGGAAACATGGTTTTAGAGGCTTATACAGATGCGGACTATGCTGGTTCATTAGTGGATCGAAGGTCAAGTTCTGGATATTGCACCTTCTTAGGAGGAAATCTGGTGACTTGGAGGAGTAAAAAACAAAATGTAGTAGCTAGATCAAGTGCAGAATCTGAGTTTAGATCCATGGCGATGGGAGTTTGTGAGTTGTTATGGCTAAAGATAATCCTTGATGATTTGAAGATAAGATGGGAAGGACCTATGAGGCTATATTGTGACAATAAATCAGCAATAAGTATAGCTCATAATCCTGTACAACATGATCGCACTAAGCATATTGAGGTAGACAGACATTTCATTAAGGAGAAATTAGATAACGGACTCATTTGTACGCCATTTGTATCTACAAAAGATCAGGTTGCTGATGTTTTAACAAAAGGACTGCCAAACAATATGTTTCAAGATCTAATAAGCAAGCTAGGAATGGAAGATATCCATTCACCCGCTTGAGGGGGAGTGTTGGTTGATGGAGGATTTCCAAGAAGATATTCTTGTCATCAAAGATGTGATCCTCTAAGATGAGAAGATATTCTTCATATCAAGATATGATCCTCTAAGATCTTAGTATAATTGTGGTAATCTAGAATATCATATCTCTGATTCTTTCTCTTAATGTAAAGATTTAGGTGATTCTATTCCACAATCTTTTATGTATATATAAAGCCATGTACATGACATAGAAAAATATGAATGAAATTATTCAATAATCTTATTCCACAGTTTTAAAGCAACAGAAACTCTTTCAACTTTTGAAGGACTCGCTTTACAGGCACCAAGTTGTCCTTGTTCTAGTCAACATCTATGTCACTTGAAATTACTCACCATAATGTAACTTCTGGTGCTTTAAACATGGGGAGATAAAGGGCTACATAAACACGCTAATTCATGAAAGCATCTTACACCGTTACAAGACAAAGATAAGTGTTATCCCTAAAATTTATGCTCAATCATCAAAAAGATAATCAGCAAAAATACCTCCAAATTCCGAATCATTTGCTGACCGAAAGCATCATCTGGGTGGATCTGTCAATAAGCCACATAATAGGCAAGCAAGTCATTACAATACATCAGCAAGGTATCCACAGTACCTTGGGACAGGATAGCATTAGAACTCAAGTTAAAAGGATGAAGGGAGGGATCAAGCCTATAAAAGAATACAAGATTTAACTTAATAGCATCTACAACCTGCTCATACAAGAAAAATATTGATGTGGAAAAGGTTCTTGAAGCCCATCCAACAATAGCACGGCTTGAATCAGGATCCAAATATATAAGAACGCATTCTGCAATTATAAATGTTGGCAAACTGATGATAACATCAGCATGTGCAGTTAACCCTAATCAGTAAGAACTTGGACATGTATAAATGATCAATCTTTCCAGAACATGGGAAACAGAAAAGAGAGCAAGATAGTCCTAAATTTGCAAAGAGGAGAAATAAAAGAAGACAATGAAAGTAGTAGTGTAGACAGCAAACACCTAACAGTCAATTAATCAAGTAAAAAAGCAACCACAAAAAGTTTGTTGCTAGTCCTATCACTGAAATGCTTTCAATTGTCCAATACATGCTATTAACTACTACATTCCAACTCAATTTTGGAAAGTTGGACTAATATCAGCATAATTGTATATTGGATGTTGAAATTAGTTAATTGCAAGTTAATTAGTGTAGTACTAAATTCCTATGTGTTTTGCTATATTTAAATTTTCTGTAATTGTGCGTTTTAGTTCTAATAAGTGTGCACTTCACTCTGTTTTTACTTCAAGCTCCATGGACTTTACTGCTTTTATGCATTTTTTACTTTTAAAAACACTGATCACTAGACTGATACATTTACATGGATCAAATTCACCATAATAACACATACCATTATAAGAGAGGTTAAGTTAGAGGTAGTTATTCATGACTATCTAAGCTTGACAAAGACCTAATACATAAGATCGCCTATGCTGCATTTCTGGAGATTAATGACAAAATTGTTTAAGAAAAAACAATAGGGAAGCAATGACATACCTGGGGTCTAAATTTGCTTGGGCTATAATATCATTCAAATTTTCTATGTTGCGCAAATCTACAGGCAGCAATTTGTAATGATCACTATGGACTTCCCCCTTTTCTGCATGAAAGCATGAGATAAGTTAGTTGTGCTAGATATTAGTTTATTCTAGCTTTTGCAGAGAAGAAATGTCCAAGAAATTGCACTAAGCATTTAAAATCAGAGTCCAAGCCTCATTTGTTTGCACTTAATAAAGGTATTAATCTTAATCATTCAGATTTCAGTCATTAAGTCTGTTTGTTTTCAAGGTCGGAATCTTAATCATTAAGTGTGTTTGTTTGCCTCATTCCTGAAGAGATGACTAAACAATTTAATATTTCATTGTTGTCATTCATGCTTATAATTATCAGTCCATAATTTATATTTATATTATTTTTTCTCTCTTTGCGCCTTTTTTCATTGAAGTTCACGCTTTATTTGCATTTTGCGCTTAAATCCCCAACGGACCTTAAAGATTTTTTGCGCTTTTTGCTTTTCATAACACTAATCGATTAAATACTTGACCTATCCATCTTACGTTCCAAAATCGGGGTACCTGTTACGGAAATGCATCAAATGTTTGCCATGTAAATGAAATGCAGGGGTCACCAAGTTGAATCCAAAAGAGGAGAGCATTCACAACTTTGCAAGATGAATGGGTCCATTACCTGAGGATATTGATGCTGTTTCACCAACTTTATCCCTTAACTGACTGTAGGTTTCAATAAGAGCTGCCTTCTTACTTGTTACCTGTAAGACAAATAAATAGAGAGCTGAGCTCTTTAGTTGAGCCAATAATTTGCCAAAAAGCAAAGGATGTTGTAGCCACATAAAAATATAAAACAGACCTCATTTGTGATATAGTATAATAACAAACTTTCAACAAACTCGGGGGACTTAAAATTTGAAAATCTCACCTCAATGAAATCCAGTTCCACGTAAAGATGAGGAGCTTTTCCTTCATCCTGCCAAAGACAAATCTAACTATTACTTCTTCTTCCTGGGGGAAGGAACCAGTAACCATCCAGCGTATATTAATTATATTGGAGAACTACATTTAGGGAGCAGTATCAGATAAATCTTAATATAAAGCAATACTCCGCTTTCATAACGTGTCAACCAAGTTCAACAAAACTTGCAGATAGCAAAACCAGACACTCAAATTTCTATGTACAGTAACCCGTCTGAGCATCACTAATGAATTTCTCTTAACTTCCATTTTCTCTTGACAACTTTATTTAAGGGTCCCTAGACAGGGAAAAATATTGATACATATGAATAGAACTGTAAACAAGAGCATTGTAAAGCTCCAGAACTGCAATTAGATGCATACTGTCAGCTCGGCATAGTCCCAACTCCCAAACTAGTTGGGGAAAAAAATATTTTTTAAAAAAAAACAAAAGGTGAAATCTTAGCATAGCTTGCGTAAAATTTTCAATTATTGTGGAAGATATGAAAAAAATCCGCAAGAAAACTGAAGCACCTGCAACTGAAAGAACATCGTGTCGAAGCCAGCTCCAAGTGACAGTATCTGCTTCCTGATATTTCCATTTCCATCAGCATTCGGCTCACAATCAAGAAATTGATTGAGCATCTTTCGAAGAGCAGCCCAGCGGGCAAAATAACCTAACAATTAAGTAGCATATTAACAAAAACAACCCCAACTAATAAACACTAAGCACATCACCACCATGAATTAAGAAGCCAAAAAAGAGATACTATACCACGATTAATAATCGGAGCTCGCCTCAGCTGCTTTTTAACAAACAGATGAACATAATCATCTTTCATATATCCTTTTTTCACGCATGACCTTCAAAATCACACAAAATATTTTTAAAAAATTAATTAGATTCAGTTTTCACATCAATTTCCGACGTAAATTGTAGATTCACAGCTATGCTCCGAAATTAACATTATTTACACTCACAACTTTATGTAATCTCCAAATTATGTCTAGAAAATTAACAAAGAGGAATTGAAGAGTTGAAGAAAAGGGCGTACATACAGTTTACTGGCGGAAGCGTCGTCGTTGGTGGCTTGAACGGCGGCTCTGTTGCTGCGCGAATCGGTAACCGGTTTCGCCATTCTCTTGGCCAAGTTTTGATACTCTCTGAAACAGAGCTTTGAAAATGGGGAACAGAATTTGGGCGGAGGATTTGATCCTTGTACTTACTCGTTATTACTTTTTCATTCACAATAGATTATGTTATGACCATTGTAGTCCTCGCTTTTTCTTTGTCAATGTTATGGGTTGTGGTGTAGCGGTGAGATTGATTTATTCTTAATTAAAGATCTCACATTCGGATTCTTAACACCTTGTTTGGATGGTTGTAACTCATTGTATTGTTAGTTTAAATACAATGTCTGTTTTGATTATTACTTAAATTTTATTGTATCGTATCATTTATATCCATCGTTAGGTAATGATGAAAAGACTCATTTTATGAAACGATCAATTTGATGTGATCGCGTCGTTACCTCCCTATTTTCTTTTCTTTTTATTTTTATTTAATAATTATATTTTATTTTTTGTCTTACATTTTCATAGTATTTCTACCCCGTACCCTACTTTTCTTGTATGTTTATCATTCAAATCATGAATGTGTGACATTATGTAACGACATAAAATATACAACTTATCCAAACATTGTATTCATTAAAACAATACAATACAACACAATGCAATACGATACATTATGAAACAACACATAACAACCATCCAAACAAAATGTAATTGACGTCTCAATACGACTAGCGAATTCTAGATGTAAACTCAAAAAAAAAAATAGTACTCATTTGTTTTAGGGCATGTTAGATCCTAAAAAACATGTATTTTCGAGTAAAGAAAAATAATTTTTTTAGTACAAACAAATTCTTATTGATATTTTTCTTTTTGTATTTCTATTTAAATTTACAAGTTCTATTTTGATTGGAAGTGAAATATGATTAATTTGGGCTATGGGTCTGGGTGGGATCGTAATTTATTGTCATATGAATTGGGAAAAGAAAAAAACTATATTCAATAAAAAAAAAATTATGTCATATTTTGTTGGCTAGATATTTATATAATGGCTTTTGAAATAAATATATAAGATAAAACTGGGTGACCTTCTTGTTACAAAAGAGAAAAATTGTTAGATACAACAATTGAGTGACCTTCTAAGTTGTTATTTTATTTTCATATAATAGCTCTAATTTTTGTTTTATTTACATGCTTTGAATAGGGTAAGTAGTAAAAAACGGTTAACTATTTTTAGATCATGTAACTCGTGGTATAAAACTAAATGACTCATATATATTCAGAATGTCAATTTTTTTTTAGAAAAAGACCCTATCGAAAGGTTAGTCATTTTATTTTAAGCTACCAATATTCTTAGGAGTACTTAACATACATTAGTTGATTAATAAATTCATACTTTTAGGATGTTTCATATGAGCACTATCAAAATGTACAATTATAAGACTATAAGTTTAATCCGGTCGAATTTTTATATGACGAACGTAGAAAAAAAAGAACTTTTCAAAAGTAGAATTACTAATAATATTTATGTTGAAAACTATAAAATAATGTCTCGAATATTATAAAAAAAAATGATATTAGATCACTTGATATTCTATGCATGTATGAATTCTTGTTACTTGGAGTGGATTATCAAAGTTTTAAAAAAGCATAACACAAACAACTCGGCCTTTTAGAATGATTATGCAAAAGATATTAATATCATATATATTGAAATAAATAAATTTAAAAAATTATTCTATTTTTTTTTAAAAGAAATCAATAGATCTTAATTCTTCAATTGTTTAAATGTTTTCTCCAATAATAATTATGATACAACTATTGATTAAAACAACACAAATTTCAAATAAAAAAGTTTTTCAATATTAAAACATATTTATCTACCTATCTTTATCTATATTTAAAGTAATAATTCGTGCTTAATTAGTTACAACCAAATTGACTATAATTTACGTTTATAAATATACTATAAAAATAATAAGAGAATTTGAATACGACGTTCATCGATATATACCCTACAAACAATAAGTAAAATAGTCAAATCGATCACTTAGTTTGTCGTTATTGTGAGAATTATCTACAAATCGTAAGCTTGAGATATACATTATAGATACAATATTTTTCGGATATATAAATCTCAAAACTAGGCATAGATGTGTAACACTTGTGCAATGAATCTAGTACTATATTAAAAGTGGAAAGTCCTTAAATTAAAAATTAAATTGCTAATTTACCTCATCTTTACCCTTAAAGCCTTAGGCCTCATTTGTTTGCACTTAATGGAGGTCTAAATCTTAATCATTCAGATTCAGTCTATTAAATGTGTTTGGTTTTTAGGTTTGAATCTGAATGATTCAGATTCAACCCATTAAGTCCATTTGTTTCTTTTTTCAAAAAGCCTCTTAATGGACCTGAAAAGGTCTGAACGGATCAGATCTACAGGAGAGTCTTAACACCATTCAGACTTATTTAATAAGTTATTAAATAATATTGTATCGCCTCTCTCGGTCTTTGCTTGACTTTTGCTCTCACAACTATAAACTTTCTTCCTCTCTTTGCTCAATCAAACACCAATTTTTCCCTCTTGAACTGGTAAGTTTTCATAATCTTTACAAGTATTTTTTTTATATTAATAATTTTCTTAGGTTGTATTGATGTTTGTCAAGAACACTTGTTGCAATAATATTTTTAGTGTATTGATGTTCATCAAGGTTTTTGAGTGAAAAAAATACTATTCATAATTAAAAATAATAACTATGTATATACTATATTGAGGTCTCTTATTAGAATTTTGTCTTAGGTCAATAATTTTAGTGAGACTCTTTGATCATCAAATCCGCTTGTGAGATAACACTAATATATTATTGTTGTTGAACTAGTTGGTGACAAAAATAATGGAGCTCTTAATGATTCTCCATCTCAATCTTCAGTTTCAGCTAGAAAAAAAAAGTTTTAGGAAAAAAAAAACTTATTCGTCTGAATTAGAAATTGATGAGAAGATGATTACTGCTCTTGAGTTATTGATTAAAAAAATAGTGCACCTACATTTGAAGAATATATGGAAAAATTAAATGAACTTGGATAGGAAGAGTCATTATACAGTACATGTGTTAGTATATTTTGTGAAGTGTCCACTACAAAAAAGCATGAATGACGTTAGAGGTTCACAAGTTAGAAAATTGGATTTAGGTTATCGGAAAAAAAATAAGAATTCTTTAGTTTTTCTAATTAGCCAAAATATATGTTAGGAGCTGATAATGTGATACCTTATTTATTATTTTCCAACTAGTATTTATCATACTTATTGAACTTTTTGATATTATATTGTGCCTATAAAATACTTTTTACTCGTGATTCTTTTTATGTTATGCTTGATGATTATGATATTTTTTTAATCAAAAAGGAATATTTTTGTTGAAATGAATTTTTTATAACATTTTATTAATGTAATGTTTGATTTCATATGCACATTCAAATATTGAAAACAAATAATAATCATTTAGTGTTTAGATTTGAAGTCAACATTTTAATATTCAGAGGTGTATTCAGATCTAGACACCTAACTCTTAATGCAAATCTTGTATTCAGATTAGAGGTCTATTCGCAAAATTCTAAAGAGCCATAATAGCGCTCTTCACTGCTCTTCAAATGCTACATAACCCCAACAACTACTAAAACAATCAACTTTATGACAATTATTTGAACGACAACTACAAATCAAATCTTAAAGCACTTCTGCATCAATTCTTCAAACGATAACTACAAACAAGAGAATCGATTTTTTCTGCTAAAGTCAATCCCATTTATCTATGTCGGATCGAATTTATTTAACATCTGCTTTACGTACATTGCAGGCAACAAAAGCAGCCTCCGTCGAAAACGAAGAGCAAGTTAAAATGATTATATGAAATTAGATAGGTAAATACAATTCTTGAATACTTTAAATTTCCCCACGAACTCGAATAAAATAACTTTTTAGTCTAAATATTCATATCTGCCCTTCCCCTAAAATCTTGATAACATTTCATTCATAATAAACTTTTTAATTTTTTTTTTTATTTCCCACCTGGTGTTCCGACTAAATTCGGATTCGCGTCGGGAAGTCCCATATTGTGGTAGAGCGCTCTCTAACAAAGGCGGCTCCGTACCCAAGGGAGCTCAAACCCGAGAACTCTTGGTTAAGGATAAAGGAGTACTTACCACTCCACCACAACCCTTGTTGGTAATATACTTTTTAATTATTACGCTTTAAAATAGTTTAGATTTTGAATAATTTCCTTTTAATGATGGATACTCGCCATTACATGACTTGTCAATTTTTTAAAGAGTTTTTAATGTCTATTTTATTTTACCATGTAACTATTATCCATACTCCCAGGTCTCAAATATATCTGAACTTTGATCGAAATTGTTGTAACAATACTGAACTTTGGAAATGACCTTTTACCCCCTGCACTATTTAGTAGTGTATTTTAAAGGAAAAATTGTATGAAATAACAAACTATTAATTCAAATTAAATGATATAGCCATAGTTTACTTTAATTGTAATTCGCAGCAAACATCCCCTTTTTTTGTCATCTGATTCGATATACAATTAACCATTTTTGGTATACAATTAGTCATTTTATACATTTCGGTAAAAAATGTATAAAATGCGTTTGTATTTGTATAAAGCGAGAGAAAAAGTGTATATACAAATACAAATACATATATTTTCGTCCTAATACACTTATAATTATACAAATACAAATCTTATTATACAAATTACAATGTATAAATAAATTTATACAAAAATTTGAACAATTTGTATAAAATTAGATGTTCTTAGCGAATTATACAAATCAAAGCTCCATAGCAAACATCAAATTTGTTATGGAGCGCAATTATGCAAACTATAGCTATAATATACAAATATGATTTTTATATTTGTTATATGTGAAAGTTGCTCTATTTTAAAGGTATATATGTGCCCACATGGACATCATAAATATTGTATTATTATAAATAGTAACGTGTCCACATGGGCACATATATACCTTTAAAATACACTATTAAATAATGCAGGGGTAAAATGTCTTCCATAAAATTTGGTATCGTAATAACAATTTCGGCCAAAGTTGAAGTATTTTTTAGATCCTTTTCCCATTTTAAAAAAAAAGGAACTGTAAGATCCCGTAGTTTTTTTCTCTAATCGTGCATAATATATGTGGCGTAGTATGGCATGGTTATACGAGGTGTATATGACTTTGTATCATACATTGGAGATTAAGATTGCAAGTAGGTGGCAATATCAAGGAACTAAACTAAAGTTTTAGGTCAAAGGAACCCCTCAAACAAAGTTCATGAGAAAAGAAATGGCTCGGGTAGAACTTCGCCCGTTTGAAAGGTTTAACTTGTCCCATACCTTGTGGATAAGCCTATGAGTGTAAAACATGCTAAGAATAGTGTGTTATGAGGTATTATAATAGCACAAGGGTCGTATGTTAAGTTTGGAAGTCAAGAAAATTAGTGAAACTAAAGTCGGCAAAAGTTATCGAAGTTTCTCTAATAATATTTTCTTAACTTTGGGTCAAATGTCTTGGATGTTTTCTCCCAATATACAAAGAGTTAGAAGGCCTATCACCCATTAAATCGAAGGCCTACGAGTCTAGTTTGCAACGCACAAAACCCCGTATCTAACCGACATCGGAGTAAAAAGTTATGAGGGTTTTACTACGGACTGTCGGGGCAGAATCCGGGTCGG